AGGGGGGCCCGGGGACACTCCCGGGGACACTCCCGGGGACACTCCCGGGGACTCCGCCTCGCTCTCCGGGCTCCCCGTGCTCTCCCCCCGCCGCAAAGGGGAGTCTCGGGTGCCTTGTGAAGGGTCGGGCTCCCAGAGCCCCTCAGGAATGGGGTCGGGGGGCTCCGGGGGGGTCTGTAATTGTTAAAGGTGGGGGTTTAGGGGGCGTTGCGCTCTTCTTTCTCCCCCCTGACCCCCTCTCTCTGCCCGCAGGTGAAGATCTGGTTCCAGAACAAGCGCTCCAAGTACAAGAAGATCATGAAGCAGGGCCCGAGCGGCCCCGACGGGGAGCAGCCCCCGGCCAGCACCCCCGCTCTGTCCCCCTGCTCCCCCGGCCTCTCCCCGCTCTGGGACCTCCCCGGGCCCGGCAAGGGACCCCCGCTGGCCCCCGGGGCTTACATCAACACCTTCGGAGCCTGGTACCCGCCGCACCCGCAGGACGGAGTCCCCAGGACACCCATGATGTGACATCGGCACCGCTCCGGCACCGCCGCATCCGCGGGGACACCGAGGGACACCGAAGGACACGGAGAGACACTGAGGGACGCCGAGAGACACTGAGGGACACCGAGAGACACCGAGGGACACGAATGGACGCCGAGGGACACGGAGAGACACCGAGGAACAAGGATGGACACTGAGGGACACTTAGGGACACTGAAGGGGATGCTCTGCCGCTGCCCCCGGAGGCACTGGGAGCCCAGCGAAGCCCTGGGGGAGCCCAGCGAATGGAGGAGGAGGAGGAGGAGGAGGAAGGTGACAACGATCTGCAGGAGCCCGGGGATGTCCCGCTCTGTCACGCTCCGCAGTGACCCGGCGCCCCGTGTGCCATCCCAGCGGGACAGGACTCGAGTCCCCCCATTCATGGCCGGGGGCAGCGGGACCCCAGGAGGGGCTGGGGAGCCCCCGGCCCGGCTTTATTTATAATTTCTGTCGGTCACTGGCTGTGCCCCCGTTTGTGAACTGAACATTGATCGGTTCTGCTCCTCCGCACCCACCGCGCCTTTGGGGTGTCCCTGGTTTGGGGGAGAGGCTTCCATCCAGAACCTCAGGCTCTCCCAGTTCCTGGGAAAACAGCCCAGAGGGGCTGGGGGTGCAGGGCCAGGGGCTGGGGCTGTGTCCCCCCCAAACATCCGCCCGAAATGGGGCCGAATCACAGGAACTGTAGGGCCGGGGCTGGCGAGAGGCTCCCGGCCCCTCCCGAGGGGAATCTGGGGCAGTTTGGAGCTGTTGGAGATGTCTCCCCCAGAAGGGGTGGCAGTGGGGGCAGGGGGACACGGAGCAGGCTGGGGACCCCAGCTGAGCCCCTTGCCCTGCGGACCCCGGCCCGGGAGCGAGGAGGGGTTTTGGGAGCAGGGGGTGATTTCCCTCTGCACCTTTGGCTTTGTGCTTCCAGGGGCCGGAGCCCGGCTGGGAAATACATCCTTGTCACTTCCCTTTCTTTCCATGGTGTTATTTCCCCCTGCTCGGGGTTTGTCACCTGCGGTGGTCCCCGGAGCCCCCCGGGGGTCCCCCAGCAGAGGGGCAGCGGCTCCGCGCCCCCCCTTGCACAGACATTCCGCGATCCTGCCGAGGTTCCCCTCCCTGGGTGGGGGTGGCAGCTGGGAATGGCCTGTCCGGGGCTGGTGGCACTGGGGACCCCATGTCCCCATTCCCGGCCACCCTAGGAGCTCCCATCCCTCAGCCGCGGGGTTTGGGTGCTGATCCCACAGGGTGGGGGTCCCCAGCTGTCCCCAGGGGACAATGGCCCCTGTCCCCGGGATCCATGGCCCGTGCTGGGGATGCTCCCAGAGGGATTTTCCCGGAGGAACGGAGCTCATCCTCCCCGAGGATTTAGGGCAGGGGACGGATTCGCTTTGCCCGAGGCTGGAAAACGGGAGAGTTTCCCATCCTGAGGCTGGAACTCAGGGCCGCGCTGTCACCTCCCTGTCCCCAGCGGGGCATTCCCGGGCTGCTGGGGCCGGAGCCATCCCGAGGGAGCGCTGCTGTCCCATCCCGGGCCCCGGCTGGCTCGGCTGAGCCGAGGGCTGGGCCGGGCCCGGCTCCAGGGCTGGGGCTGCCAGGCCGGGCCGTGGGCGGGCGCTGCCCCCGCTCCCGGGGCTGGCACCGGGTGACGCAAGGGCTGCAGGTGTCGCAACGGGGCAGGAGCTGCGAGGGCTCTGCTGGGCCCGGGGTGACAGCGGGGGGACCCGGGCACTGTCACCCCAGGAGCTGCCACCGCAGGAGCTGCCACCTCCCCTGGCACTGTGACCTCCGGAGCTGCCACCTCCCCTGGCACTGCCACCTCCCCTGGCACTGTCACCCCCGGAGCTGCCACCCCCCCGCTGGGACCCCGGTGCCGCCATCCCGGGGTTGTTCGGGCTGTCCCCGCTGCCGTCAGGGGTGACTGGGATAACTGGGATAACTGGGATAACTGGGATGGCGAGGGAAGGTCGTTGTGTGCCGGTGCCAGGACAGGACAGGGATGCTGGGGACACTGGGGCGATGTCCCCTCCCCTGTGGGGAGCCTGTCCCTGGCTCCCATCCCCATCCCCATCCCCATCCCGAGTGTCCCGGGACACCAAGCCCGGGCCCGGGGGTGATCTCGGGGTCCCGCACCCGCTTTTTGGGGAATTCTGGGGCGTTCTCGGCCACGCCTGGGCCGGGAGAGCTGTGGGAGAAGCTCCGGGGCTGGAGACGGGGATGAGGGGGAACAAAAGGGGGGCAGGAACCCGGGGGGACCCTCTGGGGGATGGGATGGGGGGCTGCAGGAGCCCCTTGATCCCAAAGCTTTTCCCGGAGCGCATTCCCCGGGGCACTGCGGCGCCCGGGATTTACATAATCCCTGGATATGTAACCCGCACCCTTCCTGGGTTTTTTCCTCCTCCTCCTCTAAATGAAAAAAAAACAAAAAAAAAAAAAAAAGAAATTTAAAAAGACAAAACGAAAAAATAAAAGCCCAAGAATTAAACGAAACCTCCCCAGCGCCGGCTGAGGCCGTGGAGCTCCCGGCTCCGGCTCCTGCTCTTCCCGAGGGGTTGGGAACGGGGATTGGGGGCGCAGCTTGAGGGGGGAATTGGGGGCGAGGGGCGAGGCTGTTCCTGCCCGGATTTGGTGATGGGGGCCGTGGGGACACAGCTGAGAGCCGGGAGCCCCCCCCGAGGGAACGGGGCTGGGTTTGGGGTGACCCCGGGGACAGCAGGACAGGGCCACCGCAGCCATCCCTGGGGATGTCACTGATGGGGTGTTTTGGGGTCACCGGAGCGCCCCAAACCTCCAGCGCTGCCGGGGACGGCGCCGGCTCCGCAGGGAATGGGCGGATCCGGTGGGATTTGGGGATTTTTGGGGGGGTTGGTCCTGTCCCCCCTCTCGTTGTCCCCAAAAGGGACATCGGGACACTCAGCCACCCTCGCGCTCTGCAGGGCTGGGAGCTCACCGGTCCCGTGGCTTTTTTTGGGAATACTCTGAAAATCAGGAAAAAATTCCTTTTCCTGCTCCAAAATCCCCGCTGAGCAGGACAAAGCGGGATTTGGGGTGAGCCAACATCAACCGGTGCCACCCCACGCCCAGCTGTCCCCCCAAAAAATGACTGACAGAGGGGTTAAATCCACATTTCCAAGGTGGAAAAAACCCAAACCCTGCTCCCCAAAAACCTCCTGAAACCGCGGGGGGAACGGTGTTTGGAGCTTTAAATACAGAACTTTTATTAATGAACATTTCCAGCCCGGCTCCGGATCCCTGGGGAAGGAGCAAAGGACACTCGGGGACACCCGAGGGGGGTTCCCATCAACCGGGGGGGGGTTTCCTTAAAAAAAAAATAAAAATTATAGACAAAAAAAAAACCCAGACCGAAACCAGTTTGGTTTGGAACAACTTTATACAAACGAACCTTATGTACACTCCCTTTTTTTTCCCCCCAAAACACCCCTATTTATAGAAGGCAACATAAATAAATCCCCGGGACTGTACAACACTATGAACACTCCTTAAAACGGCACTTTCTGCTTAAAAAAATAGCATTATTCTCTTAAAAAATAGGAAAGAGCTCGGTTATTTTTTTTTTCCTTTAAAATAAGTCGTCGATTTCCTTAAAAAAAGGCATTTTCGCCGTTCCTTTACCCACAGCTGGAGGCACAGCCAGAAAACGGAGATGAACACGAGTTTTTCTCTTTAAACAATAACTTAAAACCATTCCTGAACTGCTTAAATATTAAAATATTTCCCTCCCCACACCCCCCTCCTCCCCACCCATTTTTTAAAAAATTTATTTATTTTATTTAATTTTAAATCACCACCTTCTGGTCCGAGCATCGTCCCGGGTGATTCCGGCCGGGATGAGGGTCCCGCTTTGCTCCCGTGGGGGGTCCGTGCCCCCCAAAGCCGCTTTCGGAGCCGGGGCCGAGCACGTCCCGCTCCGCTGGGGACAGACCCCTCCCTGTCGCGACAGCGGCGACACAAATCCTCCATCCCGGCGGGATCCGGGCGCTCCCGGGGTCACTCCCGGGGTCACTCCCGGGGTCACCCCAGCGGGGAAGGCTCCGGTGAGGGGTCGGGATGAGGCTCTTGGGGGGTTCCCGGATTTATCTGAGCGGGGCTGGGGGGGTCTGATGGAAAAATCTTCACAATTTAAGGAGGAGCAGAAGGATTTTCCACTTTTGGATTTTCCACCTTTGGATTTTCCACCTTTTTGGATTTTCCACCTTTTTGGATTTTGCACCTTTTTGGATTTTGCACCTTTTTGGATTTTCCACCTTTTTGGATTTTGCACCTTTTTGGATTTTCCACCTTTTCCTGCGCTGGGAGCGTCTGAAGCCTTTGCAGTCCTCTGGTTCCTGAGATGAGCGGGGGGCGAGGAGAGAGGATTTTTAGGGGTGCGCGGGGGGGTCCTTTCCTTTGCTTTGTTGGTCGTCACTTGTTTTTTTTTTTTTTGGTTTTTCTTTTCAGGAAAAATAAGGAGACAAAACCAAAACGGGGGCGGAGGGGGTTTGAGGGGGGAGAAAAGGAGGCCAAGGAGTTGTGCAGAGTCTCTGAGCCCCTGGCCACCCTCAGTACACGGCGCCCGTGCTGGGGGGCCCGGGGGACGGGTGGTGCATCGGGGGGGCCGCCTGCGCCTGGTGGGGTCCGTGGGGGCCGCTGAGGCTCTGGGGGTGGTACCAGGGGTTGTGCTCCTCCAGGAATCCCGGCGAGGAGCTGTAGGGCAGCGGCTGCGGCAGCGGGGTCCGGGCGCTGCCGCCGGGACTGTCCCACACCGGGGAGGGAGGAGAGTTGCAGGCCATGGAGTCGCTGTTGTTGGGGCTGTGCTCCAGGGGAACCTCGCCGTTCTTGTAGAGCTTCTTGAACTTGGAGCGCCGGTTCTGGAACCAGATCTTCACCTGGGGGATGGAGGGGAAAAGGGTCAGAGCCCCCGGAAGGGAACGGGAGGATGGGATGGGCACGGGGAACAGGGTCAGGAGACGGCACCGGAATGGGAGGGAGGGGACAGAGGGGAGGGGACGGTTTGGATCGTAGGGACAAGGGGGTCACGGGCAGCCCAGACACGCGGGAAGAGATTTGGGGATCACAGGGAACTTTCCTGGCCACTGGAACGGACCTGGGGGTCACAGGAGGACCCCAGGGACACGGGAGGGACACGGGGGTCACAGGGACCCCAGACACACTCTGGCACACAGGAAGGGACACGGGACACAGGAAGGGACCCCACACGGTGCTTGGCAGGAAACTGCTCGGGACAGGGACGTCGTGGGACACACGGAAAGTCACCCTTGGTGTGAGCGTGACAGAGAGCACGGACACCCCACGGACACCCCACGGACACACCGTGCCCTGGGGACAGCAGCCGTGTGACAACTGGTGTGGCAGGGACCCCTGTGGGGACACGGGCGTCACGAGGAGCCCGTCACGCCACTCTCGGGGCGTCGGGAGCGTCCCCGCGCTGGGCGAGGCGGCGCTGGACGCCCTTGGCCCTGGGCGAGGGGCGGGGGTGGCGGTGCTGTCACCCAAACAGGATGTCCCTCTGGGAGCGGGTGACGCGCTCCGTCAGCCCTTTGCCGAGTGTCCCCGATTGCTTCATCGCCCAAGGGAGGAGGAGGAAGGCCAAGGGCGGCACAAGGGCGCCGGCGCCGGCCCCGAGGCAGGGAGGGCACCGCGCTGGGGCGCGGGGGAGTCACGGGCTGCGGGGACAGCGGGGACAGCGGGGACAGCCCCGCTCCCCGCCCAGCCGAGGCCACCATTTGTCCCCGCGCCAGGCGGGACCCCGAGAGCGAGAGCTTCGCCCCGAATTTGGGCGGCTGGCGGGGAGGAGGAGAAGCCCATCCCGCACGTCCCGGCTCTTCCAGTCCAGCCTGCAGGGCCACCCCAGCGCCGGGGACAGCGGGTGTGGAACCGGTCCCCAAATCCCTTCTCCCTGCCCGAGCCACGGGGAACTTTGGGGAGTCTGGGCGGTGGGAGCAGGCTCCGGCCGCAGGTCCCCGTGTCCCGGCAGGATTTGGGGTCAGGAGCTGCTGAGGCTCCCCGGGCTCATCCCGAGCGTCCTGGCGCGCCCGGGACTTGGTGCCCCACATTCCTGGGACAGCGGGTGTGCCGTGACCCAGGATCTGCCGGGGCAGGATCCAGCCCCAAACCCTGCGGCACAGCCAGGTCTAGGATGGGGCCGGCTCCAGAGGGACTGGGATAAACCCCGAAACTCCCGAGTGCGGCACGGCTGAGCTCCGTCCTCTCCACTTTTCCCTCATCAGAGCGAATCCGCTCCAGGGGGGAAACCTCGCCCCGGGAACGCCACAACCGAGCGGGGAACCCCAGCCCTGTGAGCCTCAAACCCCTCCCGGCTCCCCGGGAACTGAGCCCTTCCCAAATCCAGGATTTCCAGGGCGGCGGCAGCCTCGGCTCCCCCTGCGCTGCCCGCGGTGGGGATTTGGGGTGCCGGGGGAGGGGGTTCAGCCCTTACCTGGGTCTGGGTGAGCCCCAGCTGTGCCGCCAGCTCGGCGCGCTCGGGCAGCGCCAGGTACTGCGCCTTCTGGAAGCGGCGCTGCAGGGCGGCCAGCTGGTAGCTGGAGTAGATGGTGCGGGGCTTGCGGATCTTCTTGGGCTTCCCATTGACCATCCGCACCTCCGGCTCCGGCTCCTCCTTCACGGACACTGCGAGAGGGCGCGGGGTGAGGCGAGAAGGGCTCCCAGGGCGGCCAGCCCTGTCCCCAGCTCGGTGTCACCCCGCTCGGGGTGCTGGCAGCGCCCTGTCCCCTGCGACAACCTCGGGGACCCTGTTGGGACGTGTCCCGGGCTCTGCAGCCAGCGCGGATCCCTCTGCGCCTCCACGGGAACACCGGGAGCGGCTGAGCCCCAGGAGCCGCCAGCAACCCCCTGTCCCCATCCCGGGGACAACCCGAGGGGCACAAACCCCCCGAAACCGGGGACACCCAGAGGGGCACAACCCACCCCAGACCAGGGACACCCCAAGGGGTAAAACCCACCGAGACCGGGGACACCCAGAGGGGCACAAACCCCCCGAAACCGGGGACACCCCAAGGGGTAAAACCCCCCGAAACCGGGGACACCCCGAGGGGTAAAACCCCCCGAAACCGGGAACATCCCGAGGGGTAAAACCCCCCGAAACCGGGAACATCCCGAGGGGTAAAACCCCCCAAGCCCCCTCTGGAAGCCCAGGGGAGCAGCGGCCCCGGGCCCCCCAGACATCCGTACCTGCTTCCTGCGCCGGGAGCTGCTGCTCCCTGAAGTGGCCGTACTGGCGGTACGAGGGGCTGTAGGAATACTCGGATTTGGGCGAGTAGGTGCCGGCGGTGCCGATGCCGTTGAGGTTGAACTGGGGGTAGGGGTAGTGGCCCACGGGCTGCCCGTACGACTGGCCCGGGTAGTAGTCGTGCTGGCCCGTGTAGTAGCCCAGGTCGGTGACCGAGGACTCCGGCAGGGTGGGAGAATCCTTGGAGGCTGCATGGCAGCTCAGCGAGCCCGAGAGGTCCGTCAGGATGCTGGAGAGCTTCTTATCGAAAGAGCCGCTCATCGCTGGGAGCGGGGAGGGGGCAGCTGCCTGCCCGGGCCGGGGACCCCCCAACCTGGCGGCTGCCGAGGCCTGGCGTGCCCCGAGCGGGATCCGGCGCTGCGGCTGCTTCGCGAGGAGCCACCGAGAGACTGTGCCCAAACCTCCGGCCCCGGCCGCCTGCTTAAAGCCTTTAATTAGGGAGCAGGGCAGGGTGGGTGCGCATTCCGATTGGCTCCAGAAATATTGCCTGGGAGGCAAAATAGGCTCCTGCCTCCTCCTGTGTGGGTTTTTTTTTTCTTCTCTCTCTCTTTTTTTTTTTTTTTTTTTTTTTTTTTTCTTTTTTTTCCTTCTCGCTCTCTCTCAAGAAACAACAAAGAGTGGGTGAAGGAGGCTGAGGGAATAACTAAAGTGTGCAGGGTCCTGTCTGCAGGACAGGGCGGCCCTGGGGACACAGGGGACACTGGGGGGGACAGGGCTGGTTTACAGGGGGACTTTGGGGCCGCGCGGGGATTATTTGGAGGAGTGTTTTGGGGCTGTTTGTTGAGGGGCAGGGAAAGGGGGGGTGGGGTTTGGGACTGGGATGGATCCGTGCTTGGGGCTGGGGGGCTTTAGGGGTTTGTTTATGGCCCCCCCTCACTTCTCCCCCGCTCCGCCTTCTCCCAGCAGCGTCCCCCAGTCCAACACCACCCCCCGGGTAAAGCCCCCCCGAGGATCCTCAGTACCCCCAACCCTGCCACGCTGCCCCCTTGTCACCTCGGGGCAGGGACAAGCCCTGATTTTGGGGGGGACACCCCCCGGGGGTCTGCGCCCCTCTCCCACCCCCCTCAAGGCTGTGACCTCTCAGCTGCTCCAAGGACCCGCAGCAGCGTGGCCCAGCCGGGGGGACCCGGGCCAGTCCGGGTCCCCTCCTGCCACCCACAGGGCTGTCCCCACGCCCCCAGCACTCGGGGAGGGGGCGCTTTGCAAGGGGGGGCGTTTTTTAGGGGGGTGGTCTCTGCTTCTGCTGGCAGGAACTTCCTCTGGCAGGAACCGGGGGGCTGGTAGGGGGCTGGGCCCGTGACCCGGGCTGGGCTGTCCCCTCCTGTCCCCTGTGTCCCCCCCGATGTCCCCGCGGTGTCCCCCCGGTCCCCCCGCCCGTTCCGCTGCGCGGGGCAACGGCTCCGTTTGGCGGCCACGGCGGGAACTGCGGCGCGTCCCCGGGAACGCGGGTTCGAGTCCCGGCACCTCCAGATCCGGGGGTTCGAGTCCCGGCACCGCTGGGACCGCCGGGAACGAGGGGGAAAAATGGAGAATTGGAAAGGAGCCGGAATGGGAATAGGAATGGGAATAGGAATAGGAATAGGAATAGGAATAGGAATAGGAATAGGAATAGGAATAGGAATAGGAATAGGGATAGACAGGAATAGGAGTGCATAGGAAGAGGAATAAGAATG